CTTTTAGGGCAATGTTATTTCAAGATAATTGCGACACTGTTCGGATTTGCAAATATTTCTGCCTGTTACCCAGGCAGGACGACACATTCCGTGCCGAGTCGATCCCTCCCCACATTGTACCTTTAGCCAGGCTACTCGCATAAAGCGGCCTCTCTCGAATAATGAAATCGACAAACTAATTGTGCGAAATTGCGCGATAGCGCGATAAGAAACGTTGGATCGAGCGTTCCGCTCAGATGCAAGGAAGGTTTCGGCGCCACGGAGGAATGTAACACACATACTCTAATGTCTCGCGATCTCTGCCGCCTCATTTTGATTTTGCTTCGTAGTGCTTGCCCACTGACGTTTCTAGCTTTGGCAGCAGCAATGTTGGAAGGGGCTATGCGAAGTCACACACGCTCTGCCGTCTGTTGCAGTCAGCTGGCCTAGCACCAGTATTGTCGTATTAAGAATGATTTATCAGATTATCCTGGTCTATTGGCAAAAGCCTGATGAACTGGCATAAATGCGCTAGCGCTTCGGTGAGTTGCTTATCCAGAAGTGCACGGTTCTGCGTACCTTTGGATCGCTGGCCGCTGGTAACACAGACAGTCCGATGTGCTTTCTGTGCAAGGGCAAAAGAAAGTCGGCGAAAGATTGACTGTTATGAAAACTGGAGGAGCGGAGGTCATGCGAAGCCTTCAAGAGATACGGAGGTGAGTACGCTGGAGATTGTTCCACTCTCCCTTGGCCAAGCAAAGGCCGCCACGAAGAGGCAAGCAGCACTGACACGTCCCAATAGAAATGAGTGCTGCGTCTTTCTAGCGTGAAGCCTGGAAAATGAACGAGGCAAGTGTCCTCGGCTTCAAAGGTAAGGTGGGCGGTTGTTTTGTGCCGTTGGTACGTGGTCGAGTTGCCGTCAAGCTGCCCACCAGTTGAAAGCAGGAGCTCTTGGAGGAGAAGCAAGGAGCTGTTAAATGTGTAAGAACTACGGGAGTTTCTAAGCCGTATGCTAAAAGAGAGGAGAGGCGCTCACTAGAGGTAAAGGTAGCTGCCGAGGCCGCAATCAACACGCAGGCCCAGGACGGAGACAGGTCGGGAGAACCGCATGAAAATCTCGATAGTGGTGGAAAAGAACGAGCATACCTGTAGCTGGATGAGCTATTTATGCGGTGCCGGCAGATGAGAGCTGAATGCTAGTGTCCAGCATGCGAATGACTGCGGTGCTTGTCGTGGTCAGGAGTGCGCAGCACTTCTGGACACACGTTTGTCGTGCATCATTGGCCCGATTGCAATTTACCGGTTATAAATGCAATATGCTGTCTAGATATGGTCTTATAACTCACTTTTGCCAATCGGGAGCAGCTACATGCCAATCACCCTGTGACAGGGCAGCCTACCTGGTTTGGAGGTGACTGGCTAGCGGGTTCCTTTCTCTTGGCAGCGACGCCTTCCAACTTTGCCCTAGGACTAGGCTGGCTAGCAAGCCATACGTTGGTTGGAACTTTTAGCCTGATCACCTTCGAGCTTAGGTGAAGTGTCAGCTCTGATGGTCGCAACCCTGCCACAAACTCTGTTCGGGTGCAGGGGGAAATGCTGGCTAACAAGCAGTGTACTGCAGCCATTCAGTTCTATTAGCTGCTTGCACATGTTCGTGGGTCCTCACATTGGTGTCACTGCCGTTCGATTTGTTAAATTCACACGTAAAGGCAGTCGCTTACACTGCACGCATCTTCATACACAAAGTGTACGACCCCCCTTTTGCAGCACTTAGTTTAATCCACTATACAACCCTACAAATACCCGACTCCACGCAGCCCTTAGAGCGATACGCCGGCACTTCATGCTTTCTACTGTGGGCAGTTTTCACAGTTACCGAGCGAGGATGCATGCTAATCGGCTTTTTTCGGTCAGGTCATGAGCCCGACCCAGCGAATATATTCGATGTACGACCAGGAGCTTCTCGCCTTAGTCACCGCCCTAAACAAGAACCTTCACTTACTAAGAGCCGCTATAGTTTTGATGCATACCTATCATCAGGCTCTCACATTTTTACTCACCCTTTCGCGCAGCTCTGCTTGTTGCAGCCTCTACCTGATCCTAGCACTCGCTAGCTTGATTTTCTAGCAAAGTCCTACGACCTCATAATCACACAGCTACATAAGCACATGGCGGACGTGCTGTCTCGATACCGTGGATGGAGCTGTTGCCGACGCACTCCTTCCATGACGCCTTTCATGCTTTTCAACTTACGCAACATCTGCCCTGCGACCCTCACATGATCACCTAAGAAACCGTTGTTGATTGTTTTTCATTTGCAGATCCCAACAACTACTTGACTTATCACTATGAGTTCGACTACATTTTGGGTCAGCTGCGCATAAGCGGCGAAATCTGGTGCTCAGTGAAGTGGCGGGGTTTCCCTGAAAACCAGGCTACATGTGTGCCTTAAGAGCATAATACGAACTACCCTTCCCTACTAGGAGCATCAAAGGGCCTCGAGCATCGGTGCTAATGGTCAGATGTCACTGCGTAGGCCCCGTTTTCCGACACTCTCTTCTCTATTCGATAATGCCCCTCTATGCCTAGCTTCTTAGCTTTGACCGCTTCCTTTTCCCCCTCATCGTATGCAGTACCTTTGTTATTCTCCGTTAAGCAATATTGATGCATAGTTTTACACTTTATCCAGCTGCCGCGGGAGAGCCAACGCTGCGTGAAGGGGGGCGAATATTCTGATCATGAAATTTCAAGCGGACTTGTCCACACTGTGGGCGCCTTCGTGCACGGGGCTGTCACGCGGGAGCTCCTTGATCAAAAGTGAACAGTACAAGCTATACGCCATTTATGGGGGAAGAAGCTAACATGAAATGTGGCAATGAAACTGAATTCAAAAGTAGCGTGGTTCACAGAGTGTCTTTGCTAGACCCACTGTAGCGCTGGAAGACCCAAATCAGCTTCAATTCTCACTGCATCTTTTCCCATTTCCGTCTCCCTCCTGTCCGTTTTTCTTCAACCACTTCATTTACTTCTGAACTGGTGCGACTGTTGTTAGTAGTAGAATGCATTAGGGCGGGCCACTAGGATGCTGGACTGGCTGCTGAGTAACGGGAAGAAAGCTACTAAAAGTACCCCGATTATTCATGGAAATAATTATGTTACGCGGGCGAAGCCTTCTTTAGAAAAGTAGTCCTTTCTTTCATTACGTGGGAAGCCAGGTAATTTGGTGACTGGCTGCAGACGGAAGGCGCCAAAATAGGGTAAGAACAAGAGCTCAATACATAAGAACAGCAACGGAGCCTCCAAAAGGGAAACTGAATAGATAACAGATGTGACGCTTAAGCGACGACTAACCGCCCTCACCTTCTTAAAGCTCACAATGGCCCATTCATTGCATATATGCCATAAAATAATTACTTATCCAATGATCTGTATTTCAGAATGTGAGTGAGAAGTGCTAGCTCAAAGCACTACAGATCGCACTTCGTACGTGGCTGAGCAAACCCCTAGAGAACCCGAACCTCTGATGTTGCGCCTCAATGCATGTGCAACACTCAGGGCCTACATCCATTTCCAGCCATTAATCGCAATATTACGTTTCTACTTACTATCGGAAAATTTTCAAATTTCTGCTTCATATTCCTCTAGTTTACTACATACAGCCTTCAAAGGTGGTAATGGTCGCTAGCACTAACGGCTCAACGGCAAGTTGCACCACAGCGTTCTCCGCGGCCAGCACGACGTAGCGAGCTCACGTGTAGATTGCAGCGAAACTGTTGGAGCCTCTATTTTGACTCATATTCAGCACTAAATATTCATACAAATTATGTGTATATGTAGTGCCAAGAACTTAGAAGGACACCGTGGGTTGCATACATTCATTTACAAGGGGAAGCTCCATTTGGTCAACAGCACGAATGCACGAGAGGACGTGGAATCCAGGGAACAGCTCAAGTTAAAGGATGTGTTCTTTATATATCCTGATATGTTAAGCAAGTGGCCGCTATACGACGCGAAGTTATATAAAATGCCCTGTAACGCCTTCTTGAAGACAAACAAGGGCGAGCTTGCCCTACCATCCCGCCACCTCCTGATGGAGTGGACGAGTCACAAAGACTATTAAAAAGAGTTGGCCTATGCTGAAAATTGCATAATTAGTAAAAGCTGTTGAACTATTAACTCAAGAAGTGGATAGATATCGCATGAGGACTAATCCTTAGCACTGTGCTACAATGGACCGATCCGCCCGTTACATATATGACGAAGGCTGGAGACAGCGTCCCTGGGCTCACTTTGTTTCCCTGCTGTCAGTCATTTCTTGAAGCTGCACTTAGTCACAAATTATGCTGAGTATTTAACTACAATCTACAGAACTTGCTCTCGCGGTTGGCTACTCAGGTCCAGCAGCACCTGCCGAGCCCCCCGCAGACCACTCTAAGAATCAGACCACTCTAAGGAATTGCGCGGAACTGCTTGAGGTTCTACAGCCCATAGTAGGAACATCCACTTTCGTGACACTGCCTAAGAAATGTCGAAGGGGAGATATATCCGATCATAGCATCCAGAACGCTTCTTGTTTCCATTTTACGTTTTGCTGGATCTGAAGGCTGACTACTTGCGGGTAACAGGTATTCATTGATTTCGAAGAACCACTCGAGGTCACTATTTCCATTGGCACTGGACTAAGTGTGGAATTAGCATCACGCAGGTGCGTTTCCGTGCCACGTGCCGTGTTGCTCCTCCCACAACTCAATCACGCAAGGGAGCCTGCATTGTATCAGATAAGAAATATGGTGTCGAAAATGGACTACAATGAGGCTCCAGCCGAGACGAAGAATTTGGAGCAGGATATGTTCATTCAAGCTGACTACACCAAGCCGCCAGAGCGAATGCGAAAATTCCAAGTTCGCGGTCAAGTAGCTAGTTGGCCTGCGTTTTTAGCGATCATGTGTTCCTCTGCCATTCTCTTTGTGATTATAAAATGTTCCTTGCATCTGTCTACGCATCCATTGAAAGCTTTTAGGATGCTAGCAGATGAAGGCATCAGCTGTAACGACGAGGAAACCCTCTTGGTGGGTTTACAACACGTTCAAAATACAGCCACCGCAAACTGATGGCCTTGCTGTATTTCGTCCCTTTTCAAGAATTTTCCCTGCAGTTGATCCTGGGTGTGTTTTACTCAGGGTGGAAACAGAGAATGGAGTTTTTGGGAAACCGTTGTCGGACGCCGTGCCTCGCTGAAGGGAACACGTGCAAGACTTGGCACTCTAATGAGCTTTCGAGCTACCACACGTACATACACCAGCTTGAAGAATGCAAAATCTTATGGAACATTCGACCCTTATTCGGGGCCGTCTGCAGATACTCCTTCTGACGTCGTAGAATATGATCCAGATGCTCCTCCACTAGCCCCGGGGCAAAAAAGAACCTTCCGTAGCAAGATCCGACTTGGAAGCACGCAATCACCTCACTACGAAAATATTGACAAACCGTTTTCGTTCCCATTGCTTGGAAGGCAGGAAGTGAGTTTGGAGGGGGCTGCTTCGACCTAATGGTCGCAAAGCAGCAAGTGCAGCTGTAGGTCGAACTCTCTACATTTAGTTAGGGGCCCTAGACCAAGTTGGCTGATAGAATGACAGCAAGTGCCGATATGGTTCCATGCTACTCAGAACTTCCTGCTCTGACTCTTTCAGAAGCATCGAAGACTACGAAATATGCTACACGGACTTGGACAAGCTGCAGAAGCTATTTGTAAGGTACACAAGGATAAAATGGACGGTAAGAAGGCTGATACACAGTATTTGTCTAAAACAAATAGAGCCGTTGGCACCAACTGATTCCAAAAGTGGGACTTCAAGGTTCAGCGTTTACATCACTTTTACTCAGAGCAAAGACGCTGGATGTCTGCATACAGGTGTAGTTTTAAAAGCTCTCATGTGGATAATGTGTGGTGCTCCTACAGCTCACTTTAAGGCGAATTGTCCGGTCCCGGGTGGAACCACTGAGGTGCTTCTGCACGTTGAGTTTACTGAAATAGTGAGTACCGTAATTTTTTGCAAATTGACACTCTTGGTCACGCATAATGAACCAAGTAGCCTTAATTGTTTCAGATGCAGAAAAACGAGCTCTTGGTGGAGAAGTGCAATGAAGGGTGCGTTCTTTTGCGCACAGGAAAGTATTTCCAAAAGCTCATGGGAGCAGCTAAAAGTAAAGATGCAACGTTCAGGCCCATTCGACACCCGGCATGTGGGCAAGGCAGTCGCCAATTCACCCACTTGCTCACGCGTGACTGAGCAGCTGAATAATATCTAACCTGACTTATGTAGGTAAGTTTGTTTGTGCTCATGCAGTTTCGCCGCGATGTAGAAGTTCTCACTCAGGAGTTAATAAGTATGGTTCTTCTCCAAGCTCAGAAGTCCGGCAGTGAGTACAATGTTGGAAACCAAGAAGCTAGCGCCTTTCTTAGATGTTTGCAGAAATGTGTCGGCGCTGTATCCAGCCTACAATCTTGCTTGCGTGGCTAAGCTTGCCCTCAGCACGATCTCTTGAACGTGGATCTTTTTGGATGCTCTGGCTTGCGAAACTGTTGGTGTTGCAGTGTCAGAAGGGCGAACCAATTACTTTTCTGGAGTGCTCAGAAGACCGGACAATTTGCCTTGTTCGGGAACTGTCTTGCTCAAAATCTACGGTAAGCCCGAATGACAGTGTTTCCGCGCAGTCTAGCGTGCAGGATTCTGCAGTCGTCTGCTAGGGCTGCAGACACTTCAGCTGGGCGTGGCTGTAGCCTAGCATTTCAGGCTACAGTCTTAAAAAATACCCCAGAAGTGCAGGGCTACCCGTTGCGTCAGTTGTCGAGGCGCACAGACACATGTTTCTTATGTATTTTGTTTCAGCCACAAATGACTGAGGCTGTTCGTAGGGACCGGCAGTTCCCGGAGCCACCCTTTATCGCCAGCTCCCCTGAATGCATCTTAGAGTGAGGTTAGGCAGGACGACATGAAGCTTCACGCTTGTTGGCGTCGGGGAGCTGACAATTCAGCCTGGAGACAAAGGAGTCAACAACCTTCAGTTTGGCAGTTGCAGCTCTGCGTGTGGTTGAAGTGTGGGTACAGGTTTTCCTTGATGTTGCTCTTTCGAGCTTATTGACCAGCAGTTTACAAGTTCAGCGTACTTGTGCACCAGCAGCCTACAAGTTCAGCGTGCTTGTGTTCCAGCAGTCTACAAGTTCAGCGTACTTGTGTGTAGAAATCTCATATCAGACGAATGCTTGATTTTGAGTACAATCACTGGCGATGTAGAAGGCGAGTAGGTCTTTGCAAGTTCTGGCGAGATCGAGTGTTTTGTAATATTTGCACTGCCGTGCATTCGCACGGATCTATTTACGTAGCAGGCAACTGAAAGTAACCACATGGCCCGCAGAACAAATTAGTTTGGAGGCCAAATTTTCAAATAGACCCAGCAGAGCAAGCAGAAAGCGAATCGTTTCCACGCTTGCACTCGCGCCCGCATGCATCATGCAAAGGTGTATGGTGCACGCATTTTTAGGTGCCCGCGTGTAACTGTGAAAGCTTTTTCGTATTGGCTTACGCCGTAGATGGCAGCAAAAGCTGGGTAATCTTTTGCATGCTTGCGGAACTGGAATGCTTTTGGGAAACTTGAAGCCGTGTTAAGTGGCCGGGTACGCGCTTGGGAGTTTTACTACGAATATTGCGTATTTCCAAAAGAAGCTTTGTATTTGAGGTAGCATTTGCCATTCCTACTTGCGGAAGGTCCAATATTTAGAAAAGTGCACTGTTTCAGTTTTTAGTGTTTGGGGAAGAGGTTTACTGAGCTTTTGTGGCTTTCAAGTCATGTTGCTCGATGACAGTGTGCGTCAAGTTAAGACTTGAGAGAATCGCCTCTTGGAGCTTGCTTCGACAGCCTTGGCTGCAGGCAATACAGGCAGCTATTTGTATGCATTCCGTGTTTCGGCACTTTTTAGGTCCTCTTTTGCACTTTGTGGGTCGTACTAATAAACAGAGCATGAGGTCAAGGGTAAGAAACTCTGAAGCTGGAACGTCAAGGAATTCGTCTCCTACTATAGCAGAGCACATGATCACGCGCCTTGAGATGACTGCGATACATAATGGCGTTGAGGGGATGCATCTGACAGATCTGATCGCGGAGAAGCCCAACAATTGCATAAGTGGGAAAGAGTGCACTATCAATTCTGTTTAGTGTGAAGCCCATTGAAATACAAACTGGGATGCATCATGCAGGACACCATTTGAGGGCTCATAGTTGGGTGACCTCCAGTGTAGGGAACAACAGTGCTTTCAAGGCAACAACGTCAGCGCGTTGACTTCTTGTGGGAGCCGGTGAGGCACTTAAGACAGTGAGGAACATTTCCTCAATTTTGCCTGGAAAAGGCGCAAAAAGGGCTTTATCTGCGGAGGCATTTATTGGTCCCCGAACAGTAGCATTGACACAGCTGAGGTACTTGACTATACTGGAGTGTTGGAAACCCCGTGTTCTGCGTATTGACTGATATGCTTCGTGAAAAGCATATCTCACTAATGATAGAGAGACGGTTCTTTGTAGACCTCGTGAGCCACATTCTTCGCCATTGTGCAGTTCTCTCCCGGTCTCCATCCCAATATTGTTTTCGGTACTTCCGGGCACACCATAGCTTATCCCCCACTTTTGGAAATGTGCAGAGCTCAGTCAAACACTATTTTTGTTTGTCAGAAGCGCTGTGGCAAAGTACCAAGCCCTGAGTCGTGTAGCTGACGCCCTTGAGCTGCCAGGTTTCCATACTCCTGGAGCGTTGAACCGTAACAATCTTCAGGGCTGAAGCAGCATTGACAATATAACGAAAGATTTACACCAATATAATAGCATTATTTGGAGGTAGGAAACCGGGATTAGCCGTTTGACGGCCTTTAACATAATTCGCTTGAGTGCGTCGAACGCGAGCGTCTCTCGGTGATACCGACTTCCAAGTCCCCTTCCTTTGCCCTGGTCTTGTGATAGTTGCCTATTGTAGAGCATTAAAAGCGATAAAAAGCCGCGCGGAGCAATTTTTGTGCTCAAAATTTTGGACTGCGAGCGATGGTATGCTCGGAGACTCCTTGGAGGGACTGGAGCCGCATTAAGTTTCAACGCCCGCAGTGCAGGCAGCTCGGATAACCATGTATTGGTGGAAGAAAGCTGAAAGAGGAAAGTAGGCAAGTCTACAGCAGTAAGATGCTGCGGCAGGACATCTTTCCCAATTCTTGCTTGATGAGAACTTGTTCGCTCCAATCGGCTAAAAGGTGAGGATGTGCGAAGACACGAACGCTTCAGAAACTTCGGCGCATGTTGGAAGTTTAGGCGCAAAAATAGTCTTATTTTCAAGTCATCATAGTTAAATTGTTTCATTTTTCAGGGGGAATCGCTATTTTCTCGGCAAGTAATGCTGTGCCGAGATGCCAAGCCTGTTTGTACGACCACAGGACGAGGCAATGGAGGCAAAAATAAGGCACTCTAGCTCTCCCGCGGAAGAGTTAAACTTGAAACTGGATACGTCTTCTCACGCCAATCCTGTTGAGCCGTGGGATTCACCTTGGAAACGGAAAAATAACCAACAGATAGTGAAGTGGTCTACTGTTTCATTGGCCTTGACCTCTGTTGCCCTCCTTCTTATCGTTTTGAAGTGCTCCACTTGGATACGAGCAAACTCATCAAGAAGCTTCAGAATTCTTGCGGAAGGAGGGGAAGACGAGGGCAAGGAAACTTCGCATCTTCTCGAAGGTGTAGGGCGGATTTTGATTTTGCCTAAGATGTAAACAAGGCGGCCGTCTATCCCCTTTAGTCTTTCTCAAGTGTTGCCTATCAGCGTGTTTCGGTGGCACGTAGGGTCCCGATATATCTGGAGAGTGCGAGAGCGGCGAAGCTGGTGCCTCTGGCACTCGGCGGGAGCGAAGACATTCAAGAAGGTGGAGTCATTTGTTTCGAATAGGACCAACTTCACAGCCAACTCGAGCTGAAACGAGTGGTGAAGAGGGCGCCAGTGCCAGTACATCTCAGCCGCACCCAGAATGGACTGAGCACCAGAGCAATATTAATGTCGGAGAGCCCTCTGCTTATCAATATCATGGCCTTGGGAAACCCTACTACTTCCCATTTCTTGGAGTAAAGCCAGTAAGTTGACAACGACACCTTGTTTAAGTTTCCCTCAGCTTCCTGAGCAAGTCATTATACGCAGCATTTTTCCTTTCCTGCAAGTTACGTAGTTTCAAGCTCATTTCTGTTTGTCGTTCTACTTAAGTAACAGCGTTTGAATTGTTATCTAGTTTTTGCACTAATTTTGCATTTAGGAGCACCGACGTTTACGGGAAATGCTGGAGAGGCTTGGTCAATATGCGGAAAAGCTCTGCTTCCCTCATCAGCAAGCGCGTGACAGTGAGGCATCAGACACCTAAATAACTTCAAAGGTAGTTAATAAATGGTCGCAGCACAGCACACGAATGCTTGTATGATCAGTTTCTCATCGTGGTTGACAGATTCTTGAGCAAATAATCTGCAACTCTGTGTCTGCTCCTGCATTCTGTAGTGCATACACTTGTTTGAGCATCCCTGCAGAGGTATTCGATGCACTTTGCCCAAAGCTTGATGGCACGGGCGAAGTGCATCTATTTGTTGAAATTCAGGAGATTGTAAGCCCCTCAACATTTATTTTGTCCACTAAATAGCTTCCCCCACAATTACCAGAAAAAATTATAGTGTGAAGGGGTGCGAATGAGCTGCTGGCGTTTGAGCAGTTTGCAAGCGCGTGTGCACGTGTGCGTGTCTACACTCAGGATAGTCACCATAGGAGTGCCTTTTCGCAGCTCAAGTCACTGTTCTCAAAAATCGATTATACCCATCGCCATGTCGGGCAAGCATCCCCTTATCCCCTTGAAGTTGTTGTCCCAGGAGAGTATCCGTGTTGACTCATATTTCACATGGTGTCGGTCTGCGAAGCCTTGTTTGCGAATGTGCAGTTTGGGCGCGATGTACAAGCTGTAGTTGAGGAAATGATCGTTGTGGTTCTCACTGAAGTGGCCAGATCAGGCAGTAGGCGCCAAGTAGCTTTTTGGCGAAAATTCACTGCACTCAAGTTGGCATTCTTTCTAGAGTTGAAGCTTGCAAGGTTGATTTTTAATGGGAACCAGACCTACACCGATGTTCTTGCGTACGCGCCTGTTGTTTACCCATGTGTGTGCAGTTCCGCCGGGGGGAACAACCCCTTTGGCGATCGTCCTTGAGAAGCCACACGACGTGCCCTGCACAGGCCGTGTTTTGATTAAGGTCCACGGTAAGCTCCGCCTGAACAGCCCGCCTGCACAGGCTTCAACTCGAAATGGCATCGCCTGCCGTTTATCGTTAACTTAGGTGCACCCGGCAACACGGGGCATCGATTTAACTTTCTGCGTTCGTGAGACGTTCCTTGTTGCAGCTAATCCATTTGCAGGATACCCAGGTGCAGACTTCTTTCCTCTGTTCGCTTTTGCTCAGCCGAACGCTAGGAAAGCTCTTCTTGAAAATGAGGTGAGTAATAATATTGCCAGAAGCATACCGGAGTCATCTGCGGCCTATGTTACGGTATGTCGAGCTCACTGCGTTGAGGCTCGCAGTGGCTGGCATATCATGCTAAAGGCTTCAAAAAACTTGGATTTGCCAATGCGATAAATTTGATGGCTGCATCAGACGGCTATTTCAGCAATTTAAAGGCAGATGCTGTTCGTTGTCGTCAGCTTGTCTGCTGGGATGTCAATGAGCTGTTCCCTACACGTCGGTCTTGAAGTTTTATGACCGTAACCTGAATAGTATCTTTTAAAACTGATTTGTTGTAGGCTTTCCACGTAATGCCTCTTCAAGTTTTATTGCAGCTCAGTGTTTAATACCGTTGACAGATTCATACAGGGTCGCGTCATTGCTTAAATCATAGTGCAGTTTGAGCACTTGAATGCATAATGAGCCAAATCGCAGTAGCGCCAAGTGTCACCGAAGAATATCTTCTGACGAGAAATCGCTTACTATTGATCTTACAGGTAGGACCAGAATTATCTTAATCACGCGTTTCTGTGCCGATATCTTACGCAAAGTGGATGCATGCGCTATTCCGTGAGGAAAGGATGCTCTGCTCACACATCGTGCACTGCCTGCGTTTGTGCATGCAAGTGGGTGTGCGCACACGCGCATATATGCTCTCTTAAGATTGTGTAGTTGTGGACAGCACAAGCTGATGAGCCGCGAGATGCGTAAATAGATCACAGGCCTCGCCACTGGCCCTTTTGCCCTTTCGCTGTTATGCGCTCTTATCCACCTGCCACACGAATAATACGCAGCGAAACGAGCCCCACTCAAGCCCTGCGGGCTAGGCGGTGCGCGTGCACTATTTTAGGCTGCAGTTCACAACCGTGTGCTTGCGAAAGTCGTTACGTCATGCAAAACGTCAAGCAGATATGTCTGGACTTGCAAACTGCGCAAAGAGAAGAATGAAATGCAACCTTGGGCGTTTTGCATAAACTAAAGAGTAAAAATCGTTCTGCACCCGATTGGAGGGAGCATCTAAGCTGGAGAGTTTAGAGATCGAACGGCAGCGTACCTACTCAAGGGATACAGCCATTCTTCCGCTGGCCTGGAGCTGTAGCCACTTCGCGCCGCAGCTTAACACTAAGAAGAGGGCTGAAAGTGCAAGAAAAGTGCCAAATTTTTCTTGGAGTTTTTCAGAAAGGCCGCAGTGCCACACCTCTCAACAGGTAACGGGGAGTGGAAGGCTACCCTGTTTCTCTGTGCATCAGTGTAGAAAACCGTCATTTACGTGGAAAGCCAGCAACTTGATGAACACATCGAGGACATCAATGCCTTGCCTTTTTGGACACGACACGCGGGGTAGGTTATGTGGAATGTTGCCGCATCTAGTACCCACTGGTCTCGCCAGGAATCCACATACTCCCAAAATGTTACATGGAAACCCAGAGGTTCAGTTCAAACGAGGTTCTGTGCCTATATGCTCGTGCTTCAGCTAGTATTGATGGACATCTGTCATCTGTAGTTCCCGTTCATCACTATAATTCTCGGTCTTGTCGCTTGTGTAAGCCCAGTCACAGGATAGCTTAGATGCTCTAGCGTGCTGCACGCTGAGCCCTCCAACTTTCCACGTACTCAATTCATGACACACGCTCAGAGCACCAAAGATAATTTTGTGGAGAATGTTGGGGTCGCTGCCCGCATGAGGGAAGATAAATGTAGCAACTGAAGGAGAGACTCTCCAGTTCTGGAAACGACTGATCAGAAGCAGCGAACTGACGCAAACGTGAACCCTTTGAAGCTTAATTAAAGCCCAAGGAAACAAGCTACAAGCCCTGGCTCGCACGTAGCGTGTAGTGTTGGGGCCGTGGACGCCGTTTATGCCATCCGCGGGCCCAATCGCTAGACTCAGCAGTCTGTAATTACCCCAGCCGCATCGAGCCCTCGAAATTTGACCAAAGCCGGCCATGATAGGCCTGGTAAGCTGCGTAGACTCAACGAACGCTTGCGCGCCAATACAATATTACAATACTTTCATGGCAAGTAGCCCAGGACCTAGATCAAGAAGGCATCCATTTGATTGCTGGGCTTACTGTAGATTATTTGACCACACCGAATTTTCGCCGCAGTCTCATGCTTCGGATTGAAGTCACAGTCGTAATAGCTTCGGGTCCAAAAGGTCTCGCGGTCACCACTGAGCTTTGACATGGAGACTAGGGGCTGGGACCACGGAAACGACCTCTAAAGCTCGCAATATGCTGCACTTCTACTGCAGATCACCGTCCATGTCATTCTCCCAACCAGCTGACCCACTTACCAAGCCATCTTGCTGCAATATGAATCGCTGAAAAACATGGGTAATGTGCAATTTGGTGGGCACAAGAAGACCAAACAGAAGCCGCTCTATTTATGCAAGTTGTGTTTTATATACTTGTTATTGGCATTTGGAGGAAAGGAAGCATGATTTGATGTCTGCGGGGCCAACTGCTCTCGCTGATGCAATCCACATTATGCAGGTGCTCCTGGCGATGCCAACAGCCTTTCCAGATTCGAAGTTCCACTAAAGGCAATGACAGAATCAAAAGGACGTCGATTCTGCTACAATATAATGATCCGGAACGTGCTTCCGAGTTGCAGAACAGCGGCTTTTGGTGTGAGCTTCGGGTGCCTACGCCCCGTGCTATTCCATTAGCGGCGTTTTCCTCTACCATGCCGATATGACATGCAGAAAATATGCAGTGGTTCACGTGCGACTAAGCAGCTGAATAGTATCTGACCTGACTTTTGTTTGTAACTTTGTTTGTGCTCGTGCAGTTTCAGCGTGACGTAGAAGTCATCAGTCAGGAGTTGGTAGATATGGTTCTTCGCCAAGCTCAAAAGTCCGGCAGTGAGTACAATGTTGAAAACCAAGAAGCTAGCTTCTTTCTTATATGTTTGCAGAAATACGTTTCTGTGCTTTACCCAACCCATAATCTTTCTTGCAAGGCTAAGCTTGCCCTCAGCACGATCTCTTGAACTTGAATCCTTTCGGATGCTCTGGCTTGCGAAACTGTTGGTGTTGCACTGTCAGAAGGGCGAACCAATTACTTCTCTGAAGTGCTCAGAAGACCGGACAATTTGCCTTGTTCGGGGACTGTCTTGCTCAAAATCTACGGTAAGCCCGAATGACAGTGTTTCCGCGCAGTCTAGCGTGCAGGATTCTGCAGTCGTCTGCTAGGGCTGCAGACACTTCAGCTGGGCGTGGCTGTAGCCTAGCATTTCAGGCTACAGTCTTAAAAAATACCCCAGAAGTGCAGGGCTACCCGTTGCGTCAGTTGTCGAGGCGCACAGACACATGTTTCTTATGTATTTTGTTTCAGCCACAAATGACTGAGGCTGTTCGTAGGGACCGGCAGTTCCCGGAGCCACCCTTTATCGCCAGCTCCCCTGAATGCATCTTAGAGTGAGGTTAGGCAGGACGACATGAAGCTTCACGCTTGTTGGCGTCGGGGAGCTGACAATTCAGCCTGGAGACAAAGGAGTCAACAACCTTCAGTTTGGCAGTTGCAGCTCTGCGTGTGGTTGAAGTGTGGGTACAGGTTTTCCTTGATGTTGCTCTTTCGAGCTTATTGACCAGCAGTTTACAAGTTCAGCGTACTTGTGCACCAGCAGCCTACAAGTTCAGCGTGCTTGTGTTCCAGCAGTCTACAAGTTCAGCGTACTTGTGTGTAGAAATCTCATATCAGACGAATGCTTGATTTTGAGTACAATCACTGGCGATGTAGAAGGCGAGTAGGTCTTTGCAAGTTCTGGCGAGATCGAGTGTTTTGTAATATTTGCACTGCCGTGCATTCGCACGGATCTATTTACGTAGCAGGCAACTGAAAGTAACCACATGGCCCGCAGAACAAATTAGTTTGGAGGCCAAATTTTCAAATAGACCCAGCAGAGCAAGCAGAAAGCGAATCGTTTCCACGCTTGCACTCGCGCCCGCATGCATCATGCAAAGGTGTATGCTTGCGCGCTTCCGTGAGAATTGAAGGAAATTGGTGCACGCATTTTTAGGTGCCCGCGTGTAACTGTGAAAGCTTTTTCGTATTGGCTTACGCCGTAGATGGCAGCAAAAGCTGGGTAATCTTTTGCATGCTTGCGGAACTGGAATGCTTTTGGGAAACTTGAAGCCGTGTTAAGTGGCCGGGTACGCGCTTGGGAGTTTTACTACGAATATTGCGTATTTCCAAAAGAAGCTTTGTATTTGAGGTAGCATTTGCCATTCCTACTTGCGGAAGGTCCAATATTTAGAAAAGTGCACTGTTTCAGTTTTTAGTGTTTGGGGAAGAGGTTTACTGAGCTTTTGTGGCTTTCAAGTCATGTTGCTCGATGACAGTGTGCGTCAAGTTAAGACTTGAGAGAATCGCCTCTTGGAGCTTGCTTCGACAGCCTTGGCTGCAGGCAATACAGGCAGCTATTTGTATGCATTCCGTGTTTCGGCACTTTTTAGGTCCTCTTTTGCACTTTGTGGGTCGTACTAATAAACAGAGCATGAGGTCAAGGGTAAGAAACTCTGAAGCTGGAACGTCAAGGAATTCGTCTCCTACTATAGCAGAGCACATGATCACGCGCCTTGAGATGACTGCGATACATAATGGCGTTGAGGGGATGCATCTGACAGATCTGATCGCGGAGAAGCCCAACAATTGCATAAGTGGGAAAGAGTGCACTATCAATTCTGTTTAGTGTGAAGCCCATTGAAATACAAACTGGGATGCATCATGCAGGACACCATTTGAGGGCTCATAGTTGGGTGACCTCCAGTGTAGGGAACAACAGTGCTTTCAAGGCAACAACGTCAGCGCGTTGACTTCTTGTGGGAGCCGGTGAGGCACTTAAGACAGTGAGGAACATTTCCTCAATTTTGCCTGGAAAAGGCGCAAAAAGGGCTTTATCTGCGGAGGCATTTATTGGTCCCCGAACAGTAGCATTGACACAGCTGAGGTACTTGACTATACTGGAGTGTTGGAAACCCCGTGTTCTGCGTATTGACTGATATGCTTCGTGAAAAGCATATCTCACTAATGATAGAGAGACGGTTCTTTGTAGACCTCGTGAGCCACATTCTTCGCCATTGTGCAGTTCTCTCCCGGTCTCCATCCCAATATTGTTTTCGGTACTTCCGGGCACACCATAGCTTATCCCCCACTTTTGGAAATGTGCAGAGCTCAGTCAAACACTATTTTTGTTTGTCAGAAGCGCTGTGGCAAAGTACCAAGCCCTGAGTCGTGTAGCTGACGCCCTTGAGCTGCCAGGTTTCCATACTCCTGGAGCGTTGAACCGTAACAATCTTCAGGGCTGAAGCAGCATTGACAATATAACGAAAGATTTACACCAATATAATAGCATTATTTGGAGGTAGGAAACCGGGATTAGCCGTTTGACGGCCTTTAACATAATTCGCTTGAGTGCGTCGAACGCGAGCGTCTCTCGGTGATACCGACTTCCAAGTCCCCTTCCTTTGCCCTGGTCTTGTGATAGTTGCCTATTGCAGAACAATAAAATCAATAAAAAGCTGCCTGGAGCAATTTTTGTGCTCAAAATCTTGGACTGCGAGCGATGGTATGCTCGAGCACTGCAGCAGGGCCTCGCTCCTGCGAGGCCCTGCTGCAGTGCTTACTGGCTGCGCGACTGAGAATGAAAAATCCGCCAAAAAGAAGAGGCAAAAGTTGAGAGTAAAAATAAATGAAAAGACAGTCAGTGGCGGTTCTCCTGCCGCAGGTTTCTTCGCTTTCTGCACAATTTCATGTGTCTCGTTGGGGGGACTGCAGCCGCATTAAGTTTCAACGCCCGCAGTGTAGGCAGCTCGGATAACCATGTATTGATGAAAGAAAGCTGAAAGAGGAAAGTAGGCAAGTCTACAGCAGTAAGATGCTGCGGCAGGACATGTTTCCCTATTCTTGCTTGATGAGAACTTTTTCAGTCCAATCGGCTAAAAGGTGAGGATGTGCGAAGACACGAAGGCTTCAGAAACTTCGGCGCATGTTGGAAGTTTAGGCCTAAAAGTAGTCTTATTTTCAATTCATCATAGCTAAATTGTTTCATTTTTCAGGGGGAATCGCTATTTCCTCGGCAAGTAATGCTGTGCCGAGATGCCAAGCCTGTTTGCGATCACAGGACGAGTCAATGGGAACAAAAATAAGGCACTCTAGCTCTCCCGCGGAGGAGTTAAACTTGATACTGGATACGTCTTCTCACGCCAATCCTGTTGAGCCGTGGGATTCACCTTGGAAACGGAAAAATAAGAGCAAGCCAGGGAAGTGGTCTACTGTTTCATTGGTCTTGACCTCTGTTGCCCTCCTTCTTATCGTTTTGAAGTGCTCCACTTGGATACGAGCAAATTCGTCAAGAAGCTTTAGAATTCTTGCGGAAGGAGGGGACGGCGAGGGCAAGGAAACTTCGCATATTGTCGAAGGTGTAGGGCGGATTTTGATTTTGCTTAAGATGTAAACAAGGCAGCCGTCTATGCCTCTTAGTTTTTCTCAAATGTTGCCTATCAGCGTGTTTCGGTGGCACGTAGGGTCCCGATATATCTGGAGAGTGCGAGAGCGGAGAAGCTGGTGCCTCTGGCACTCGGCGGGAGCGAAGACATTCAAGAAGGTGGAGTCATTTGTTTCGAATAGGACCAACTTCACAGCCAACTCGAGCTGAAACGAGTGGCGAAGAGGGCGCCAGTGCCAGTACATCTCAACTGCATCCAAAGTGGACTGAACACCAGAGTAAAATTACGTTTGGGGATGTTTCCGCCGATCAATACCTTGGCCTTGGGAAACCCTACTACTTCCCATTTCTTGGAGTAAAGCCAGTAAGTTGACAACGACATCTTGTTTGAGTTTCCCTCAGCTTCCTGAGCAAGTCATTATACGCAGCATTTTTCCTTTCCTGCAAGTTACGTAGTTTCAAGCTCATTTCTGTTTGTCGTTCTACTTAAGTAACAGCGTTTGAATTGTTATCTAGTTTTTGCACTAATTTTGCATTTAGGAGCACCGACGTTTACGGGAAATGCTGGAGAGGCTTGGTCAATATGCGGAAAAGCTCTGCTTCCCTCATCAGCAAGCGCGTGACAGTGAGGCATCAGACACCTAAATAACTTCAAAGGTAGTTAATAAATGGTCGCAGCACAGCACACGAATGCTTGTATGATCAGTTTCTCATCGTGGTTGACAGATTCTTGAGCAAATAATCTGCAACTCTGTGTCTGCTCTTGCATACTCTAGTGCATATACTTGTTTGAGCATCCCTGCAGAGGTATTCGATGCACCTTCCCGAAAGCTTGATGGCACTGGCGAGATGCAAATATTTGTTGAAATTCAGGAGATTGTAAGCCCCTCAACATTTATTTTGTCCACTAAATAGCTTCCCCCACAATTACCAGAAAAAATTATAGTGTGAAGGGGTGCGAATGAGCTGCTGGCGTTTGAGCAGTTTGCAAGCGCGTGTGCACGTGTGCGTGTCTACACTCAGGAAAGTCACAATAAGGGTCCCTTTTCGCGGCTCAAGTCACTGTTCTCAAAAATCGATTATACCCATCGCCATGTCGGGCAAGCATCCCCATATCCCCTTGGAATTGTTGTGCTAGGAAAGTATCGGGGTTGACTCATATTTCACATGGTGTCGGTCTGCGAAGCCTTGTTTGCGAATGTGCAGTTTGGGCGCGATGTACAAGCTGTAGTTGAGGAAATGGTCGTTGTGGTTCTCACTGAAGTGGCCAGATCAGGCAGTAGGCGCCAAGTAGCTTTTTGGCGAAAATTCACTGCACTCAAGTTGGCATTCTTTCTAGAGTTGAAGCTTGCAAGATTGATTCTTAATGGGAACCAGACCTACACCGATGTTCTTGCGTGCGCGCCTGTTGTTTACCCATGTGTGTGCAGTTCCGCCGGGGGGAACAACCCCTTTGGCGATCGTCCTTGAGAAGCCACACGACGTGCCTTGCGCAGGCCGTGTTTTGATTAAGGTCCACGGTAAGCTCCGCCTGAACAGCCCGCCTGCACAGGCTTCAAGTCAGAATCGCATGCCATTTATTATCAACTTAGGTGTACTGGGCAATACGGGATATCGATTCGACCTTTGAGGTTCGTGAAGACGTTCTTTGTTGCAGCTGATCCATTTGCAGGATACCCAGGTGCACACTTCTTCCGTTTGTTTTCTTCTGCTCAGCCGAACGCTAGGAAAGCTCTTCTTCAAAATGAGATGAGTAGTAATATTGCCAGAATCATACCGGAGTCATCTGCGGCCTGCTTTATTGGGTGTCGAGCTCAGTGCTCTGAGGTTCGAGGGGGTTGGCATATCATGCTAAAGGCTCCAAAAAACTTGGATCTCGCGCTGGGAGAATTTTGGTGGCTGCATCAGACTGCTATTCCAACGATTCAAAGGCAGATGCTGTTCGTTGTCGTCAGCTTGTCGGATGCGATGACAATGAGCTGTTCCGTACACCTCGGTTTTGAACTTCTGTGACGATAGCCTTAATTTTATCTGTTAAAACTGACTTGTCCTAGGCCTTTCACGTAGTGCCTCTTCAAGTCTTATCATAGCTCAGTGTTTAATACTGTTGGCAGATTCATACAGGGTCGCGTCATTGCTTAACTCGTAATACACTTTGAGCACTTGTATGCACAGTGACCCGAATCGCAACGGCGCTGATTTTCACCAAAACGCACCCTTTGAAGAGAAATTACTTACTTTTAATCTTACAGGTAGGACCAGAATTATCGTAATTACGCGCTTCTGTGCCGATATCTCATTCAAGTGGATGCGAGCGTTACTCCTTAATACAATACTACAATACTTTCACGGCAACTAGCCAAGGATCTAGGTGAAGAAGAAGATATCCATTTGATTGCTGGGCTTACTATAGATTATTTGACCTCACCGAAGTTTCGCCGCAGTCTCATGCTTCGGATTGAAGTCACAGTCGTAGTAGCTCCGGGTCCGAAAGGTCCCGCGATCACCACTGAGCTTTGACATGGAGACTAGGGGCTGGGACCACGGAAACGACCTCTAAAGCTCGCAATATGCTGCACTTCTACCGCAGATCACCGTCCACATCATTCTCCAAATTAGCTGACCCACTTACCAAGCCATCTTGCTGCATATAAATCAAAAAAGCGGGTAATGTGCAATATGGTGTGCACAAGAAGGCCAAAGAGAAACCGCTCTATTTATGCAAGTTGTGTTTTATATACTGGTTATTGGCATTTGGAGGAAAGGAAGCATGATTTGATGTCTGCGGGGCCAACTGCTTTCGCTGATGCAATCTACATTATGCAGGTGCTCCTGGCGATGCCGACAGTCTTTTCAGATTCGAAGTTTCGCTAAAGGCAATGAGAGAATCAAAAGAACGTCGATTTAGCTGCAGTATAAAGATGCGGAACGTGCTTCCGAGTTTCAGAACAACGGCTTTTGGTGCGACCTTGGGGAGCCTATGCCCCGTGCTATTTCAGTAGCGGCGTTTTTGTCTGGTAGACTGACATGATATGCAGAAAATATGCATGTACTCACAGAATGGAGAATAAATGCGCATGTTTTGCGCGTCATATCATATCAGCATCATTTACCCATGGTAGAAAAAGTGCAGCCGTTTAAGAAACGGCAGCATTTTTCTTTTTGCATTTTTTGAACGGGTTTAGAACTGCATTTCGAGTCTAATTGCCATAGAATGGGGTCCCGACGCCAGGGCTTAGGTGGCCTCATGACTGCAGTTGCACACCAAGATGCAACACCTCGCTCCGCGGCTGCTACTGAACTGTTTATTTCGTCTTTTCCCGGAATGTGGGATCTTTACTTTTGTTGGTACGGTAGTACCAACAAAAGTAAAAGTCCGAAATCCCTTGGACCTGAGGAATCATAATTATTGGGCGTCCTCCCCTTAGTAAAATCGCTAGAGTCTTTCGCAATTATTTCAGGTAGGCATGTGAATGCCTTAAGCAAAGATCTTTTGCAGAGAAGTTTCACAGGGCAGCATGAGTGCTCTCATGTCAGAACACTATATAAGGGACAAGGGTAGTTCCTGGTCACTGAACCCTGTACAATCACTGCGAATGAATAGTCCTATAAACTATCTTCAATCAACTGTTTATTATCCCCCTTATTTTTTTGGGAGAGCGTTTGCTGGATCAAAGAACCGAAAACCGAATAGCGACTCCCACAGTGATCAGAATGGCTGCAGCCCCTTGGTGGGAGATATTGTTCACTACAAGAAACATGAGCCCCCGGGAAAGCAGCAAATAATCGGACATGTGGTGTCTGGCTTAGAATAATATACAAATCGGCTCACAATTTAGCGTTTTCCGGCTTATTTTGCGGCCATTTGAACGTTTACCTCACCCTGCTGCGCGTTGCTTGTTGCGAAGTCCTGCCGAGGTGGATAAGATGAGCAAATTAAGCGCCTTTTTTGAAAAAAAGAAGAAGAAAGTAACTAAAGTTACAGCTCCACCTGAGGTAAGACCAATTCCCACCAACACTGAGAGAATGGATGCGGTGGTCCCCTGTGTGGTATGATGACGGACATGTGTTGGAACAGTCAAGTATCCGCTTTTTGGCCTTCAGATAGGGGTTTCTAAATCTTTTTCCCTACGGCAATACGGCTTTGTTTTCATCTTGCTCTTTCTGCGTTGCCGTGCAGTGGTGTGATGCTGAGAGGCTTGGCTTCGTCTGCGCTGTAAAACGCCCAACCAGCAGTTGCTGCATCTCATTACTAGTCCTCTGTTACTCCATTATCATTCAGTGCACCAATGCTATTGTGGCCTATATGATTTTTTTTGGTGCAGCTGACGCAGGTGGCTGAGAAAACAGAAGAGCCGAGTGGCGAGGATGCCGCAGGATGGAGGTTGGAGCCTCAACAGGAAGCAGCCTGGGCCGCACCTGCCCCCAGCCCAGCATCAGGCGGTGAGGGGAGTCTGGGTACTTCACTGAAGGTCAGTGCAGTGGGAGCGTACGAAATTGAGAGCAAGAAAGACAAGAGCTGGAGCACTATGAAGAAGCTGGAGGAGGAGCAACGCAGGGGTTTGCAGGAGCTTCGAGAGCAGGAAGCCAGGGAGTTGCTGCTACAGCAACAGCAGGAACAGGGGATTGAAGTGCAGCAAGATGCAGTCACTGACGTTCCTCGGCCTCAAGAAATGACACCTCCAAAAGAGGAAGAACCGAAGCTGTGGGTCTCAGCACGTGTGCTGCGGTCTGCGGAAGGCGGTGGACTGCTGAGGAGAGGAAGGGGTGCTCCGGTGCCGTCTTTCGACGATGACCCTGACCTGGCGACGGCAGTTCAGATGGTTAACACAAAACAGCAGCCGCAGCACCTGGGGAAAAAGCAGCAAAACACACGCAAGAGCCCCTCAGAGCCGAACGACGAAAGCCCCTTGAGCACTTCGCCATCGACGAAGTGCGATGAGCAGCAGCAGCAGCAGCATGGCAGCAGCAACATCAGTGACTCTGAGGCCTCAATCGCAGGCCCTGCAGCATTCGTCTTCGACGTACAGAAATATGTTCCATTCGACGGACTGGCTGGCGTTGCTGCCCCCCTTAACGCGGAGCTTATCAGACGCAAATATGAAAACAGACCCTCATGGACCACATTGACAGTAGCGCAGGCTTAGGGTGGCCTCCACTGCTAGCAAAACGGGGACTTCAATGAAAGACCCCGTTTTAGAGGCTGAGTGGCACGAAGGTGTCAACAATCCACGAAGATTTAGTTGAGGCTGCTTATATCTGGAGCGAAAGGAACTGCAGGACCAGACCTTCGTTTTTATCGAAGTTGGCGGGCCCCGCACATGCCGCCTTTGTGGAAGCCACTGCCAGATAGAGTGACGGAATTGTTGAAGGAGGAGTGCATTTTTTGTCTGGCACGGGGTCCTGTGCTTATTGTTCGCAACGGCGGCAGCAGAAAACCGACGCTTTTGCGGGATAGACACACCTTATGCGTACTTGTTGTACTGGCAGCACAAACAGCAGCGGCACGACCCTAAGCACAACTGGTCCGCCTGCAGAGTGCTGCGGCAGCATATGTTTCATCTAAGGCTCCTCACTTTTCACTGCTTTTGCACATATTGATTCTACTTTTGGGAGCTTGCGCGCTGCCACTTTGCATCGTAAAACCATGAACAAGTCAGAACAGCAACTTAAGGGCAGCAGCGGTCGCAACAAAGTAGTTGCGGCGACAAAAGACTCATTCTTCCACGTTAATCTCCAAAACAGCAACAGTCAGTTAGTGGTTCGGGTCCCTAGCAAGCCAAAGCAAACAGGTCGCAGCAGCAAGTGTTGCGGTTACTGCAAGTGCTAGCCATAATCCTGACTAGCTGTTACTTGCGTGGTCTGTTGCATGTAAGCTTGCCAGGGGTTCAGCGCCCCTGAACACTGTATCAGTATCAGTATCTTGGGGCGTACATCTGGGGCTACAAGGTGCCGCTGCTGGAGCATCTGGAAAGCTTCTGTTCGTGGTTGATGTGCTGTGCCTGCTGTTACGGGCTCTGATAGGTGAATGCGCCAGGGCAAATGAGGCCCCCGCTATGTTGATGCTGTTCCTATTTTCTGTTGCTTCTTCACAGCGTTGTTGGCTGCTGCTGCTGCCATTGGTGCTGTCGGGACTGGGGAAAGAAGGCAAACGCTCAGGTGCAGCAGCAGCAGCGCCGCAGTAATGCTTATTCTTGCTGTTATCTGCGCTGCTTAGTCGCCTTGGCTTGCTTCCAGGGAGCACAAGGGGACCACAGCTGTAGCGTCGCCAGTTCGCGGGTGCCGGGGTGCTGCTGCCGCTCCTGTCACTGCTGCCTATGCTGCTGCGACCGCTTCTGGTGCTCAGGGTGCCCGCGTTGGGCCACTGCGGGGCCTGTAAAGGATTAATCTGGTTAATGTGTTCCTGCTGCAGTTCCTTGGGCAGTGCCCGCAGTTTTTCTTGGTGCTCTTTTTGCTGCTGATGGACTGAACGTATGCACGCATTCATATCCTTGAGAAGCTGCTGCTGGTGCTGCTGCAGCTGCTGCAAGAAGCCCTGCAGCTGGGAGTAGAAGGCAACCCCCTGCTGTTGTTCACCAAATGCCTTTCTTAGACGCGATGCTTGCTGCTGAACGACTTGCTGCAGCTCTGATGCAAGCTTGTGTTGTTTCTGCTTCTGTAATTCAGCTTCCCCAGACTCCGCAGCAAGCAGTTCAGACCATCGCTGCTGCGCCGCCTCAAGTTGTAGCACCACTTCCCTAAGTGCAGCAGCCACATTAAACTAACATTCGCAGCAATGGAAGGACGCCATGCGCCAATAAGCACTAGCAGCAGGAGTGCATGATCGTACGCACTGTATCCTCTTCCTGGTGCTCCTCGCGGCCTCTCGAAGACTTGCAGATGTTGCCGCTGTGCATACACTTGCCGCCGGGTCAGGGCTCGTTGCTGCTGCCTGTCGCAGCTGCTGCAATACGTGCTCCGGGATCAAATGCTCAGACTGCAGCAGTAACAGCAATACTAGCTACACGCTTATGCGTGAATGGGCCAGCACCAACCAGTGCTACTCCAAAGGCGCACCGACAGCAGCCACAATGACAGCAGCTGCAAAAGCTGTAGCCACAAGCTAGATGCCATGAGGAGCTCTGGCTACTGAACTACCTGGCACAGCTTATGCTGGTCCTCTTGCAGGCTGTAAATGCGAGACTCTAACTCAACAAGGGCAGCATGCGCAGCATCGAGGCGCTGCTGTAACAATGGATGATGTTGCGTGCTGTCTACCACGGAGATGTGCAGGCGCAGTAGCAGCTTCTGCACGAGCTGCTCAGCATCTTTCTTTGTTGCACACAGCAGCTGCTCCAACGTAGGAGCTTGAGCAAAAGCTTTCTCCAGTCCTACAGTAGTTCCAGAGATTCTGTCATTTTGGAGTGTGGCCATACACGGAAGCAATTTCAAAGGGCCAAGGGCCTCATACATTCGCGAGCCAATCATTTCGTTGGCCTTTTGGGCTTGCTGCAGGCAGCAATGGCAGTGGCACACGCAAACCAAACAGTTTGTTGAAGCTGCAGCTGCGCTGCTGCGAAATGCAAGTATTACATGTGCGCCTTCTCGAATCTTGAAGGAAGCGCTGCCGTAGATGGAGTGGCAGGAAAAGCAAAGTCAACAGCCAGAGCTGCACAGCTAATGACAGCGGCAGGGCTATTGACAGCAGCAGCAGCAGATGCAGCAGTTGCTGCTCACCTGTAACTTTGTGGCGTAAAGACATGCGCACTCTATCAGTTCTTTGGTTTTACATTCAAGAGCAAGAAATTGCTGCTCGTGGACTTGAAACTCATCCTGAGTGGAACTGGTTTGCTGCTGCTGGCGTTGCTGCACCAGTAACTGTAGTTGGCTCTGCAGCTGGTGCTGCACTGTGGCCAAATGTATGCCAGCACTTGCGGACAGCTGCTCAAGCATTTGCTGCTGCTGCCTCAGCCTCTGCGCGCCTCCCAATGACTGAACGGACTGCAACGGCAGCAAAAGCAGCACAGATTGATGCAGGCAGTCAGGGTTTCCCACCCTTGCTTGGCAAGTACACACTGCAGTAGCAAGTACAGCAACATCATCTTCTCCATTATCTTGAATGAATTTAGATATTCCAAACAGCAGCAACAAAACAGCAGAACGGATTACCAGCAGTTCCTGGCTGCATGTACTGGAGAATTGAAAGTGGAGATCAGGGTTGGTGCCTTTGTTGCTCTGCAGTGGGGGAACTTGCCCCTGTTCATCGCACCAGTGTTGTTGCCCGCGCTGCTGCCGCTGTGGGGCCTCCTGCGCAGCAGCAAGCCTGCTGCGCAGCGCACTAGGCAGTTGCTCCTTCTGTAGAAAAGTAGCAACTCGGGAGAGGAGGCCGTTGGCTTCTTCATTTACTTGAGCTGTCAAACCCTGGAACCTGCACAGCCTTGACACTGTCGCTCACGCTGTTGGTGCTCTTTCTCCAAAGCAACGTGACACCGACACTGGCAAAAATTAGAACTTCTGCATATAAAGCAGGGCGAAGCTGGAAGCTACGGGGGCTGCGGCCCTGCGGTGGCATGAGAATCACCGCATCTGCCACACGAAAAGGAGCAGCATGCATTAGAATTTACGTACAGCGCCTGGTACTCGTCAGCCAGCGCCCGGACCCCAGCAGGGAGCAGTGCGCTGAGCTGCAGTTCAGCCTGGCGATTAGGGGGCAATACATCCTGCACAGTACAGCGACGAAGGCATAGAGGCGCCAAGAAACACGCAGCAGTTCATTAAGCCAGTGCATAGGCGTCTATATATTTTGCATGTGTGCAGAGCACATATATATAACTTACGTATGCCAAAAGCACGTATTTTTCGCTTGGCATGGCCATAATTGCACACACATGACTACGTTCAATGTGGTCCTATCTGGGTGTGGACATCCAAGACTTCGGCTATGATTCATTTAATCAGAGTTAACAAGCAAAGCAACAAGCAAAGCAAGCGGCGTTCAACTTATTCTAGGCAATGGAGCAATGGAAGCCAAAAGAAAGGCAACCAACTCGGAAAATAATTCACTGGGCACCAAAGCACTGCATGTATTGAACTGTAACAACGGTAGGAGAAACGAAATCTTCATATGTACCATGTATGGACTCAAGAAAACGGAGAGAAAAGACCTAAACGCATATACGCTCTTCACTGATTCGTATACGGCTACAGAGAGACACCAGTAAAAAAACCAAGTTGCCATTTGCTGCTGTTGGTAGTGTTGATGAGCCCCACCTGCAGCGAGACCTGGGTTGTCCCCCGCAGACCGGAACTTTCCTCCAGTGGTGGAAGAGCGGAAATTTTTGGGACAGGCTCCATGTACACCTGAACAGTAGCGCCAATAGTAGCAACAGCTGGAGCAACAGCAATGCTTGTCTTGCATTCTCCGTAAGAGGTCACTGGCTGATTACCGCTACTGCTGCCGCTGCAGACAGAACTGGTGTCGAGCAGCCACGGTCCTAGTTGCTGAGCTATGGAAGCCAAAAGCAACGGAAGCAGTGCACACGAGTTGGTTATCCCTCTTCGCCATCTTTAGCAGCGCATCAACAGCGACACGAAGCTTTGCTGTCTGTAGCCTGGGAGCCTCAGGAGTCCTAGCTAGGGCAGCAGCTGATGCAGCTTCCGCCCTTGATAAGCACTCCTCTGCCAGCGTAGCGCGAGCCACAAGCAGGCCGAAGCCTTCTCCTGCAGCAGAAACAGCAAGTGAACATGTACTGACGGTTCGACGCAGCGAAAACCGCACAAAGGCAGATACAGAAACTTGAAGCAGATATTACCTTCAGCCTCTGCTATTTCTTTTTGCTGAAGCGCAAGCTGCAAATGCGCGACCGCGGCGTAGCACAGCTCCTGTGACCTGCACCAGTATCAGCAGCAGGAACAAGTGATTTCTTTGTATGACGTATCAACATGCAGAGGCGTGTCCTGCCGCTCAAGTGCAGCACGAGTTAGGAGCTCACAGAAATACACACAGATCTACAGCTTACTTGCACCAACCCTCCAACGCCGCAGCCTCCGTTGCCTTGCTACTCCTCTGCAGCGCTGCAGCAGCGGCAAAAGCAGCATCAGTAGCACCGTAATAAGCAACCACAATCGCACCAGCTTCGTCAGTTTCTACCCAGTAGTTGCCGTCAGTAAAGCCTTTGGACATGCAACAGCAGCAACTGCAGATGTTACACCTGCAATGCCTAGCACTAACACGGCATGAAAGAGACCTCCGCTGATACCCTCTGTTGGGCCTCCTGCAACCCCGCCGCAGCAGCAGCAAAAAGAGACGAGGCGTGGGCAGCCAACTTGGAGCGAAAGGAAAGACTCATAGATTCTCTTGAGGCGACTTCATAACAAACCGATTGAGCCTGGCACCACAATCACGAAGCAACACTATCTACTAATACTAGAATTAGTAGCAGCACCACCTACACGCGCTCCAGTAAATATACACAGATCGCAGCACCTGCAACAAAGGATAGTGAGCCGCGCTGCAGTAAACTCTCAGCACCCCGAACAGTAGACAAGCTATTTATTCCTGCTACTGTTCCTGATGCTGTAGCTGCCAATGGGTAGCAGCAGCAGCTGCTGCAGCAACTACCAGTATATCTGGGTAGTAGCCGAGGTGTATGCACAGACGTGTGCAAGAGAAAATGCAGCGAACGCTCTCGCATCTGTAGAGACTGTCTTCGCAGAAATGGCAAGAGATTCAGCCAGTGTAAAGAGTGACGCAGCCTGAAGCACAGACAAAAATAAGACTTAGGCAGATACCTGACTAAGCACAGAGGCTTTGACCTAGGCAGCCTGATGCACCAGACAAGCACATGCACAAGAGAGCAAGTGGTACAGAGATCAAAAAACTAATCGAAGGGGTTTCACCAACTCCAGACGGGCGAATGAGTCACGAAGGACACGAAGGCTGAAGAAGCCCTACTGATGTGGGTCACATCACCCTGCTAGCTACGGTAACGGAATTTCCCCAGCAAACCAAAAAAAAATGTACTCATATACGGGCACGAGTTAAGAAGCTGAATAAGAGGCCACAGACAAGGAAATGACAAAGAAAGCAGTGTCGCGAGTAAGTCAGAACGCAAAGTAATGACAGTCGGGGGTGCAGCGACGCCAACTCTTAGCGTACTCGAGAGAAGAGTGAAACAGCCTCCTTATGATGAGAGCCCTCCGCCCTCTGCAGTAAAACGGCTCGGTTGTGTTGTAGGGCCGCTAGGGCAAAAACACAGCAGCATAGCTCCTCTTCCAGTGTACACAGCGTCCGGACAGCCGACGCAACTGTACCTTTCCCTCCCCACAAACTGCCGCCGTTACTGCTGCTATTGCTGCCGCTGGGACAAAAAATAGTACACAACCATGGCAGCTGGAGCCTTAGGGCAGAGCTGGGGGGTGCCCATAGGGGCTTCCCAGAAAGACGCGAGGAGACAGCACGGAGAAGGCTTCCATATTCAGTTAAGCGTACTGACGCCTCCTCAGACGCACTTCGCGCTGAAGGAACATCAGAAGGATGAGCATCGGCAGCAACAGAAGTAGAACTGGTAGGAGAACGAGGCCCGAAGATAACAATCACAAACAGTCACAGCGGCACAGTTGCCTGTACGTCTGCCCTTAGGCATTAAAATGCTGTGGGCGGAAAGGACACTGAGCTGCTTTGCGAATGCCGCCTTCGTCGCCGCTGCACCAGCCGCAGCTGATTCTGGTGTTGCTGCTACTACTTACGGGTGAGAGCAGCAACAACGGCATCCCTCAACCGCTGCAACTCCGCGAAGACGTGAGCAATTTCAGAACATTGCAACCAGCCAAACTGCTCACTGTGCGCAAATCAACAGCAGCAGCAAACAAGCAGCTGCATCAATTACTTCTCCATCTATTCCTACGATTAGAACGTGGGCTACAAGCAGAAAGGCAGTGTGGCGAATTAGAGGATGTGGGGAGACCCAGCCGGACTTTCCGGGTCTTCTAGGAGCTCTGACGAGTCAGCAAATCGCCCTAGGAGAAAACAACAATGCACCTTTATATTTTTTTCGATAATGCCAATGCAATCACACAACCCACTTAGGAATGGGAAGAAGCAACTAGCTGCAGACGCAATACCAGCGGCTCACCTGCAATATGCCTCCAGAGGGCCTATGATTTGCCCTGGAAGAGGCACGTGAGAAGGAAGGCGCCGCATTGCATGGCCCTTCAGAGAACAGGCAGCAGCACCAACAGAAGCCGTAGAGGCTGCAACGGCAGCAGCGCGAAAAATGTATTAGTGGCAAGGTAGGCGGCAGCAGGGCTGGCGGTGGTTGCGACAACCGCAGCTTCGGCTGCGCTTGTACTTGCACGCAGCAGCTGCTGCTAAACAAGACGACCGTGTAGCTACTGGTGAATAGTTTCTCCTGGTTCTGCTGTTGCTGTCGCCGCTGTTGGAGTTGCTGCTACGCCCAGCGTCGCCGTTGACGGCTTCGTTGACGCGAGGCAGAAGTCACGGATCTGTGGGGGAAATAGTAAATGAATGGCAGAAACGGACAAGAATAAATGCCAACGAAGGCCACGAATAAGCGTGTAAGTCGCGTGTATCACTTGAAGCAGTAGCCGCAGCTCCTCCAAACGCTGTTGCAGCAGTGTCTCAGATGATTAAGGGACCCTGTCCAGCAAATAAGTGAATTCAGCACTCTACAAAAGCCATTAAACAAAAAAGAAGTGACTAAAATGTGCCATTGTCGAAAATTTTTAAAGCACAGCTGTCCCAGCAGTGCGGATCGAGTGGGGTCGGTGTTAGCAGAGCAGTATGGTAGGAGCAGCTGCTACTGCTGCCATTGTGCTGCTGCTACCCTTTCTCCCAAGGTATTCAATCTAGCTCTGGTGATGCGTAAAACAACTTTTTGCAAACAGTGGCCGAAACACTTCCGATTATTTTTAGAGGAAATACGGTTTCTCTCCTGCACTGTGCGGTCCTTCAGGGGACAAGTTACGGCAGTTCCGGACGGCTAGCTGCTGTAGCGTTGTAAGCATCGAGCGCAACATTGGCCTTGTAGTTTGAAGTAGGCAATCAATGTTATAAACTGACAACAGCGTAATGCTTGCCCTTCTGCTTCTTTTGGCCTGCCCAGCGTGTACAGCAGTGGCAAAGGCTGGAGCTGCAGCTGTTGTCTCGCATCGAGACCATTACGCAGCAACCTCGGATCGGTCTCATCACCATAAAAGCGCAATCGGGAAGCGTCACTGAACGCTTGAGACAACGTATAGTGACCCACCGCAGATGTAGCAGCTGCTTCTGCTGCTGCTGCGACAGTCGTTGCTGTGGCCGCGGGGACAAAGCAGGGCTTACAGGAACACACAGGAACAACTGAGGCGTGTCAGCAGGTACAACGGCAGCAGGGGAGATAGCAACGTCATCAGAAAGTCGTCGCTGCGTTTAAAGCAGAACAAGCAACTAACGTTCCTGCAAGACCAACGCTTCTTCCCAAGGCATCGTCATGGAGCCTAGCGGCAACAGCGAGGACGAGGGGCTACAGCCAAGCAGCACAAGTGAAGACAACAGCAATACAACATGCAGCAGTCAAAGCCCTGTCAGTAACGGCAGCAGCAGGAGGGACAATGGCGGCAGCAGTGGCAGCAGCGCCAGCAGCAGGAGTAGCAGCAGCGATGGCAGGAGCACCAGCAACAGCCGAAGTAGCAAAAGCAGTAGTAAGGGCATCGCCAGCAGCCTTAGCAGCGAGGAGGAGGTCGTGCCACCTTCTTCCAGCAGCAGCATGGAGGAGCCAGCAAATAGGAGTGCTTTGAGTCCGAGCCTCAACCGCCGCCGTCGCCGCAGAAGCAGTAGCGGCAGCGAGGTCAGTGCTTACAGCAACAGCAGATACAGCAGCGAAAGTGAATATTTTGAAGATCCCCCTGCTGGGCGGCGTTTCAAGGAGCAGGATGAGGAGGAGGAGCATCACGATCAGCAGGAGGAGCACGAGCAGCAGCTCCTGCAAATCCGTACAGGGAAACGAGGTACGAGGAGTTCCCCGAATGACACTGGAAGCAGTGGCAGCGGAAGCAGAAGGAGCAGCAATAGCAGCGGGAGCAGGAGGAGTTATCACGGTAGCAGCACGCGCAGGGAGTGCAGACGTCCTTTGCCTTCTCGCTACCGAGGTACATTTACTGCTTCGGCAGACGCAACAACAGCTGCACCTTTCAAAGCAGAAGCATCCGAGCAGCCTTTGCTGCAGCTTGTGGCTTTCGACGACATACAACAGACTTTCACGCGCAGCCAGTGCATGGCTAGCGGCCGATGGTGCTGCTGTTGCAGTTGTTGCTGGAGACAGTCTCTGCCTCTACAGAGGCCCCGCCGCCCTGCGGCAACTCAGAACGGCACACTTCATGGCAGTTACAGCAGCACGGGCATGAGTGCCGTCAGTAGCAGTAGCTACAGCAGCAACACCAGCAGCAAGGATAACCGAAGAATTGAAACGGTGCAGGGCTGTCGTTGCCTTTGCGGCTCATGTTGTTGCCGCACCAGCAGGCAAGGCAACGAGAACAGCCGAATCGCAGCTGATAACACCGATGAAGTGTCCCCGCAAGGCGGTCTCGAGGCGCAGCTGCTCTCCGCAGGCATTTCTGCTACTTGGGGACACGCAAACAGCAATAGCAGCAGCAGCAGTGCGCAGAGGGGCGGAGAGTCTCGCGGGTCTGCTTCATTTGTGGTGCAGCAGCTAGCTTCAGTGCACATGGGACTCCCTTTGCATCAACAGGAACAGCTTCGAGCAGCAACAGCAGCAAATATGGCAACTTCTTTCCGGCAAAACCCCCACCTGCAGGCGAGGGCCTTACTGGAGCTGGGAGCGGCTTCCGAAGCGATCCCAACCTGGGATTTGTTTTTGGATTATAGGAAGCCTAGCGGACTGCAGCAGCACCCGCTGCTGCCGTCGGCAATACAGTTACTGAGACGACTGCCGCGTTTTGCTCTCCCTTTGTACGATCAGCAGCTGCTGCAAGGTGCGTGCGAGGACTCTGTGCTATACCCAAAACTCCAGGGCCTCGAGGTCCCCTTTCGGCTTCTTGCCCACGACCTACTTTTCCTTGCCACTTACTCGTATCTAGCTGATCTGCCACACTGGCTAAGGCCTCCCATTAGGCTTCTCAGGATTGTGGGATTCGTCTTGCTCAACGCAGAGCTCCACCAAAACC